ACTTAAATAGATTTTGATCATTTTTCTCCAACGCAGAAGAATTCCACTTTTGCGGGATCCGTCCAACCTATGAATGCATTGCGACCGATTCCCCGATTCAACCTTAAAGTAATCCTCGGAACTAGGTGGTTTAATTATAAACGAAGTGTTCAACCACTAGAGAGACTCCCTCGAATGATTGTTGCTAGATTTCATTCAGCTCCACCTCCAACGATTTCCCAATTCTTTCCATCCTCTTATGTCACTCCCTGAACGTGAATTCAATGGGACATCGATTCAACCGGTAGATGCTTTAGTCATAACTCAAGTGATTCAGAAACTCGTTTTTTTTTCTAGCTGAGAAAAAAATGAAGGAATTTATTTCAAGGGAGAAAATTTCTTCCCCCCTGCCCCACTGAATTGACTAATTTCTCAACTGGTCAATTTTATTAGTCATTTGGGAATGGTGAGTAAGAATGATTGTGTGAATATTCAATCCCCAAGACATGCATAAAACCGAATTGAAATAAGAATTTGTGCTGTGGGGAGTTGACCTTCATGCCATGGCGTAATCCGATGGTGACATCACGTTACTATCAGTGTTGTCTTCCTACTTGTTGCGATACAATACCGCCCCCCTTCCCCCCCCCCATCGATGACTCCGGGCTGCTTGAAAGTGAGCACTTTTATCCCAAAAAAACATGGTAATCTTCAAAAAATCATTCAATTAATGCAGATATGCTTGAAAATGTATACGAAATAGATTTATTACCCCATCTGTTCGAACAAGCAACGGAGAAGAAACATTTTGGGCCAGAAAAATTGGGGGAGAGATATGTTCTGCTATTCGACTGCCTTTAAGTCGGTCATTTAAGCGTCAAGTGGGTGATTTAATCTCAAATCAAGTCGTTTATGGAATCTGTCTGCAGTTTCTCGAAAGTTCTAATTTCTAAGTTCTGAATTACCATTGTTGGCGGTCTTCACACCGTATTGAGCCAGTATTATTGTTATGAAATTCTTATTTTGTAAATTTTGTTTTCAATTTCACACACTTTTCGATAATACTTAAACAATTTTTTCTCAATGACTCAAAAATTTCAACAAATTCTACTGATTTCTAGCGAGGACAAGGTCCAATAATTTTTTTGGAAAATAGTCGAGTATTCAACTGTCTCTCACCCCTTATATGTCTTGAATTTGCTACTATTGGTCTTCAATCATATGCAAACTGCTTCAATTTAACCAAAGTGAAAGAAAAATAACTTTTTACTTTTTTTAAATTTAAACGAGCCATGGGAAGTTTAAGCACAGCACACCCAAATGAGGGATGTAAACCAATTAGCACTTTTCATTGAAGATTTCAGTTAAGACCGTGTTTGGCCAAATCATTTTCAGGTATAGAATGGAAAATGAGTGGACATTGAGAGTGCGCTTGAAAATTTCTATTGGAAATAAGATTTTTGAAATAGCATAACTCTCAGACAAAGATCATATTTTGATCAAATGTTGGAACTCAACGTCAATTTCACTATAATCGTCTAACCCTCATGTCACCCATACAAGCTGCATGAAAAATCTATTTACGGATTAAGTGTTGAAGAGAAGGTTGACCACTAATTAAAAATTGTAAAGACGTTGGCAGAATTCAAACTTCTCATCGTGTTTCAGTATTACCATGTGAATGATAAAAAATGCCTTTCCATTCTGATGGAGGAAAGGAAAGATTTATCTTTTTATACAATCTGATCTTGACACTTACTGGTATCTATTGATCACCGAATTCAGGTGAAATTCATGACCGAGATGGCACTTATAAACACTGCGTTTGGGGAACAAAAAATACAATCCGAAAATGACATTTTACAATCTTGTAATCTCCACCGAAACATGATGGCTATTAAGAAAAGACAAAGTCGACCCACCTTTTCATCAAATAGAGTCAAATTCTTGCTAATTTTCCCAGTATCATAAGCAAGACGAGGAATCCATCCGTACTTGACATTATGGCCTAAATCAGCTGTTCCGATGGTGTACCAGATGCACGCGAGCCAATGAGCAAGCAGCACAAATCCGAAGATCATAAGAAAGAGACTAGCTGCCATATACTCTAAGTACTGGTCCAATTTTCGTGTTACTCGACCTATTCGAAGTAGTCGCACTACCTTCAGGGCACTGAAGAGCGAACTAATGGAACTCTGAAAAGAAAAAGAAAAAGGAAACACGAAGATGTATGATTTAAATAGCATGCTGTTGTTCCCGTTTACCAAAATTCTCCCTTCTCATGATGGCTCCAGTCAGTTACTTCAGATGGGCCCTTTGAACTCCAACACCGACTCCCCTTCTACGCAAGCGAACTGACGTCTCCATGGGCGTCGCCTCATTCTCCTCATAATTGGGATACCAATCACACGCTAGTGACTTTTGCGCCTTGCATTGCAATCTTATCCATCTATTTAAGCAACTTTATGTTCACAGACTGGGGTGTGCGATAGACAAAAGACTTCTGACTTCAAACTGTCATGATCCCACTGTATATCATATTCGAACACTTCACAGTACTCATCTTACCTTGTCTCTGTCTTTGTGTCTGTTTGTCTGTCTCTTTTACATCTGTGAATCGCTCTTCTGTTCCCCACTCCTCGACTCACTATTACTTTGATCAACCTTCCCTCTATGAAGCCCGGAGTCAGCTAAATGGTTAGTGATATCTATCGAAACGCCTGCCATTTGAAATAAATAAATGTCCACAGACTAGCGTATCCATCTCATACTTACCCCTCCCCNCCCCTCCCCTCCCCCCCCCCTCCACCCACCGGTCTACTACTGTTGTCCAAATTCAGATATTTTGGTGAGAAAAAAAATTCGTACATATTAGGTAATAATAAATATGGTTCAAAAAGTCTTAAACAGTAATAATGCAGACTGGTTTTCAATTTAATTTTGTTTAAAATGAGTTGATAAAGAACAGTGTATTTTATTTTAAAATTTGCAGATGTTTTGTTATGTTGGCAATTACTTTATAAAATTACATTTGGGTAAATATTATTTCCCGAAGTCAAATTAGGAAATTCGGTTTTTTAATAAATGTTTGTACTTTTATAATAATCGTCACGGCTTATGCGTAACGCTTCACAAGTACCCAGAGCATAATGGTGATTAAAGTTTTTCTAAGTAATTGCATTCAATTGATTGTATTCCGTTAATTCAACACCTGTCACTGTATTGACGAACAGTTCATGGATAGAGTTGACTATTTTCCTCCACCAAAATTTGTCCGACGTGACTGGACATCATTTTGAAAGGCAATAACACCCCTTTCCTCTCCACTTCCGAGCTTGTGGATAGTTTGAGGCCGTAAGTTGGAAATACATGATAATGTAATCTGCAAAATTGAATGGTGATTATCTACCCCTATTACCCTCCATGTTTATACAACCCCCTGGAAGACATAAAATACTTTTACTGCCCTTCCCTTCGCGGGAAAACGATTGAGGTCGGGTTCTCAAAAGGGCGTAAAGTTGCTGACAATGGTTCTCTCACAGATGAGCGTCTCGATTTTGAAAGTTTTATTGGAGATAAAAGTCAATAGAAGCTGTATCCAATACTTCTGTCACCTTATAGTTCATGTCCGGAAAGAAGTTTCAAGGTGAAGGATCTTCATTTTCTTGCATAATATATATTCTCAAGATATTTATTGTGATTGTGTTGTCGGAAATGGTTGTCAATTGAGGAGGAAGGGGGGGGGGGGGGAAGATGAGGGTGAAACGGAGAGAAGGTAGCACTGGAATTGCCTTAAAAGTTAGCGTGAGTATTCCAGCTGATTTCTGCACCTTTCGACTAATTATTTGCTTTGCATTCATGGCAAACAAATGGAAACATTGTGTGAAATTTTAACACTGATTTCTATCAGAACAAGAGAGACATTTGTGGCAGTTCATGGATTGATGGAGAAGTATGGAAAGCTAAATACTTCGACATACGTCTGCGTACGGAACTCCTCAAATGGTCTTCAATTATTTAGGTACTTTCTGAATGTCTTAAATTCTAAGCCATTTCATGGGTATTTGGTTACGAAACAACCATCCACACCACACACAGGGGGCTCTCAATTTGTAGATGAAGCTGAGAATCAATCCAACTGCTTTTACCTAACTCATTACGAACCAGCGTCCAACTCAAACATTTGAATCGACCTAGTTTTAAGGTGCCTGGACCACCTTTCAAAATTTGTCGGTAATAAGTGAATTCAATGAAGGTTTGTCAAATAGGTCTCTCCATCTCTTCAGAGATTAAGCCTTTTTAGTGGTTAGTTTCAGGGGAACTTGTTCCAGCCAACATTTGACCTAGTGACATCAATCGAGCTGTGTTCTGAATTTGCAGTTTATTCACCATATACATTGGAGAAGGTGGTTTAGCTAACGTTTCATCTAATCAGTCCCTTAATTGACAAACGATTTGAGTCTAATTCGCGCTACTTAGTGGTGCTATTGTCTTCTAATTATTCGGATTGTACAACATACACTCAAGAATTATTCAGTAGAAGAAAGGTTGGAAATCTGAAATAAATCCGTTAATTTCTATGAACTTCACTACCAAACCTTGTACTGAACCGCAATATTTCAAATGTCATCTCAAATTGAAATTGCAACAGACGCTTAATGGGGCAAATTAATTCAATTTCTCCATACTAGGCCATTGGAGCTTTAAAATCACCGTACATTCAAACAGATCTTTTGCTTTTTACTCTCTATCCACTAACAAATGGAATTTATTGTAATTAAAATTAAATAATTTATATCACCCACTCTCTGATAGATACCTACTCTCTTGCCTAAGCGTGTAATTTTCACTTCACCAATTTGATCGACTGGCAAATTGGTTATGAAAGTCGTTTTCAATATTATCAAACATATAACGTAGGGCTGGGGTGTACGATAGACTTATCTCCACTTATCCACTAACAAATGGAATTTATGGTAATTAAAATTATATAATTTATATAACCCTCTCTGATAGATACCTACTCTCTTGTCTAAGCATTTAATTTTCACTTCACCAACTTGATTAAACTGCGATGAAGTACTCTAAGTACTCTAAAATCAAGGGATCCGGATTATTGAAACGGAAAACCCCAAAGTAAAACCATCTCATTGCAATGTTTTTCCGGTGAAATTAGGTCTGTGTGACATCTGGATGCCTTGATATTTCACCGTGAATTAATTATAATCGAAATTGATTCACACTTGACATCTGAGATGTGATCTGCTACGCCACTGACGCAAATTTCTCCTAATTAAATCAGTTAAATTATTTTTAGCATTTACACTGTTTCAGAATAGTAGAGATCCAGTAATTCTAGTCATGTGAGTGATTGTAGCCCCACATAGCAGAACGCTATCAACCTGATGGTGAAGCAAAAGGAGAGCCTTTCCACAAATGACACCTTGGAAAAGCAACCGTAAATAGTGGGACCGCGAATCCCATTGTCCTATTCTGTCAAAATTATCTCATTCAGTTGCGCTTCCTTTAGTTATAGGCATTAACAAGTTCTAATTAAGGGAAGCACCTGAGTAGTGGTTGGAGGAGTGGGGGGGGGGGAGGTAACGATTTGGATTAGACTAACCTGCGGAGCTTCGGGTTGAAAGGCATTGAATACATCATAGGGTAAGCAGGAAAGAAGATCCACAATGAACCATCCCTTGAGGTAGTTGATTCGGATGACAGTGGCATCTGATATAACCTCGCCCTGGGGCCCCACAAACGTGGTGTGAAAGTTGAGGACAATGTCAATAAAGAAGATGACGTCAACAATGCTGTCAATCACGAGAAAAATGACATCATCGATGGATTTACTGCGAAAGGCCGCATTGTATGGCACCATCACGGCGGTGTAGCCAGTGAGGAAGAGAATCATCCAATCCCAGGCGGTTTTGAAGGCCACGTAGTGGAGGATCACGTGGGGAGGGGTCTTTGGCGCTTCTTGTTTGTATGGTGGCACCACATCCATCCAGGAGGCAAAGGTCTACTTTCCAAATGCAGATTAACATTAGCTTACATTGTTATATGGTATACTCGTTAATGCCTCATAGCATGGAATATAATAAAGTGCTAGGTTGTAAGAGGTTCTAGTATAGATAATGACCAATACTAAGGCAAATAACAAATGAAAGCATTTCCTTAATCGACAGGTTAATAATGGGTAGATAACTAAAGTATATTGACGGCAGTGATCAAAATTTGAGGGAAAATAAGAAAAAAACCAGAGGAGGGGGAGGATGGTGGTGGTGGGGGTGAGGGGAGAAGATTTGAAAATGGGGAAAAAAGAATGGAAAGGGGGAGAGAGAGGGAGAGAGAGCTTCACCAAAACGCTTACACCCTGTTTTCACATTGTCATATCTAAGCTAAGAAATACAGGGGTATTTCTAATTTTCCAGATATTAACATCGAACACAAATTAAAGCAATAGTCAACATGATTGACAGCCGTCACGTGAATATCAAAATAGTCTCAAATATATTTAACCTAATTCAGATAAAAAGAAAACAATTCTTGTCTGGTTAACTTTGACAAAAATAAATTGTTTATTTATATATCCATGGTTTATGACGGTTTCATACATAATTAGGGATAAACTCCAGCGAAAACTGAATAGCTTGCTAAAAATATCATGAAAATATATTGAAAATCGATTTCATAAACTCATTATTGAAAGTGGTGAATTCGAAAAAGAATGTAGCAATTTAAAGGCTGTTTCACTCAAACGAATTTCAAGCCTCATCAATATCCCCCCCCCTCCACCTATTAATGGCATAAACATAATCCTCAAATCTCAAGGTCATGTAAATATCTTCCTTAAAGCCATAAACTAATAGTATGTAATCACGCAAACTTTTTTCTAAGCTCGAGGGATTGCGTTTTGGCGTCATTCAAAACCCCGACGCAAATATTGTTACACTATTGTCAAACTCAATCCACAAAGACATGTCTGAAGGCCAATCTAGAAAGAGGGAAAATTTTGCGAAGGCAATTATTGTTACAAAGTAAGAATTAGTTATAAATGGCGTCAGAACGTTGCTAAAACCTCCCCAAAGCACCGCTTTCCCCCCCCCCCCCCCCCCCCCCCCCACCCACCCACCAGATCATTCCCAGTTTGAAGATGAACTTAGTGGAAAATCTTAACTTCAAATACGTCCATTAGTTTTTTTAGTATTTAAAATAGAGGGAGCAGGGGATGGACTGATTAATTATATTTTCTATCAGCTGATTAATCCTTTCTGATATATAGGCTCTCGAAATATTTGAATGTATTGGTTGAAATTAGGAATTTGATAGCAAGATTTCGAAATTTGAATTTTCGAAGGTCAGGTTAGCTGTAACCCCGGTGTTGCTTATTTTGTATGTTTGTTTTGTTTTTTTGCTGTAGATTAATTCCCCAAAAACATCGAAAAGGAACGCCTCGTGCCTCAATTTGAAAGCTATTAGAAAGCTATTATTTTTGAGGCCCCGGGGTGTACGATAGAATTACCTCCACGTGATGCCCCCCGGGGCAACGTATACTCATACGAAGAAAGAATCTATTAACCGGCAGTTGACTTCTCACTTCAAACTACCATCACCCCACTGACTGTGTAATATTCGACCCCTTCTACAGTACTCATCTTACTTTTTCTCTACCTTTGTGTCTGTCTGTCCCTTTCACGTCTGTGAATCATTATTCTGTCCCCCCCCCTCCCTGTCGACTTTTTTGTCACTTTGATGTTCCTCCTCCTCCTCTCTGTGAAGCCACGAAGTCGGCTAAAGGATTAATGATAGCTATCAAAACTCCTGCCATTTGAAATAAGTAAACTTTTGAGGCTAACTCGAGGCGTGTAAGTGCAGGTCGTGATTTTAATTTTGATTTAATTTGAAACAAGGTGACACGATTATGACTGGTTTAGATTTTCATCAAGTGAGCCTATCTCAGGGGTTATAATTAGCACGCTGTGGGTAGATGTTATCTAGTCAGAGGTCCATTGGGATTCTATTAATCATTTGCCAGCACTTACTAAAGACATGGGAATAGGAACGGCTAGTTGTCTTAGAGGTTTAGTTTATCCCACTGCAAGAAAATGACTTAAAGCACACATTTTTAAGGTCAAATATCTTCCTACTGAGAAGTATTCAAGTTAGCCACACCTTCTTATTTTCCTACTCAAATCAGGGATA